TGTCTGTCTGTCTGTCTGTCTGTCAGGGGGCTGGATCTCAGGAGCCTTGCTCCGTTACTCCTCCCACCCCCACCTCCCTGCCCCACTCTGGGAACAAAGGTTGGAATAGGTATGGTCCCCAAACCTGGTGGGAGCCAGGAGGCAGGTCCTGGGCCTCAGCCTCCACTCTGGCTCCAGAGTCCTGTGTGTATGTGCGTGTGCACATGTGTGAGTATGTGCATGTATGTACACGGGGAACCTGTGTGCAAGTATGTACAAGGGGAGAGTGTCACTGTCACAGAGGCTGGGGGCAGGTGGGGCTCGTCGAGGCAAGGCCTGCCTGGGTAGCTAGCTCACAAGTAGATCCTCCGCAGGTCTCCAGGCGCTGTGATCGTGTTGCACTGAGGGCAGAGCTTCTTGGCACCCTGCAGGGAGGACAGGGAGGGCTCTGGTTAAACACAACGTGCCACATGTTTGTGCATGTGAGCACCTGGGCCTGCAGCCATGTCTCTCTGCACCAGTGTGTGCTGGGACCTTGGTCCTGTCAGCCCAGGCTGGGTATACACAGGCAGCCTCTGTGAGCAGGCACGCACGCTCCTGTGTTGGGGGGACGCCAGGATCAAACCGCCTGGCCAGCCCCGCAGCGGGAGCCCCGGTAATGAGAACAAGGCTGGGTCCAGCTGTGGCTGCCGCGGCCCTAACGAGATTACACGCGGCCTTTGATCAGGACACAGAGCCCACGTCCGAGCCTTTTATTGCTGTCTCCGGGCGACATTTTAATGGCTGCTCCTGAGTGAAGAACAGGGGCAGGAGCAGAAGGAGCGTAGTAATGGGAGGGGGAGGGGCCAAGGCCCTGGTCCTGCTTACCCACAACCAGCCTGCTCCTGACCTGGGTTCTCCCCAATGTGTGGGATGCAGTGGGCCTTCTGGGGTGGAGGCAGGGAGCATACAGTGAACCCAGGGAAGGGGGAATTTAATAAGCATGCAGTGGGGGAGGAGGTAATGCAGTGAGCTCGGGGTAGACATCTCGGCTTCTTTCTCTCTTCTCTGCTTCTGCTCTCTCTACTTCCCCCAAGCAGGCTGAAGCATATGCATGGACATCTGGGCAGTGCCCAAAACTGCCACCCACTCGCCAACCCCCATGCCACCTCACCAGGGTCCGCAGCCAGCACTCCTCACAGTGCACGTGCCAACACTGGATGGACGTTAGGGGCATCGAGTATGAGTCCTAGGGAGGAGGTGGGCAGAGAAGGGGTCACTGTTGAGGCAAGCCCATCCTCTGAAGAGCCCAGATTGCAGTGCAGAGACCCTCCCCAACCCCCACTCACTGCTCTGAGGGCCCCCAAGTTCCCTTCTACTCACCATGCAGATGAGGCATTTGTAACGATCCCCACGAGATAGCTGCCGTTCAAGCTCCCTGACCCGAGCCTTCAGGGCCTCAAACGTGGTCACAGCTGAATCTTCGGTGATTCTGTAATGAGGACAACACAGCTGGGCAGCAGGCTGGCACCCCCAGTCTGAACCTCCAGCCCACACCTCCCTCAAATTCCAGAACCACATAAAGAAACGTCTTCTACACATCCCTGCCCACCCCCTTCTCCGACATCTCACATCTGCAAACTCCACATTCCAGACCTAAACTCCTCACCCTCTCTGTTCCTCCACCTCCATCCTGATGAATTTCTAAACCAGACACCTGGGAACCATTCTCAACCACTCCTTCTCAGTCAACCCCCACACTCAAAACCTGCCATCTCTCTCCTAAGGTCTCTGGAATCTCTCCACTTCCTGCCATCCTTATCACCACGAGTCTGGGCTCTCATGATTTCTTCCATGGATTATTCCACTCCACTAACCTTCTAAATAGCCTCTCTGCCTCCAGTCCCCTCATCTCCATTTCATTCTCCCAGCACCTAGAATTTACACTCTAAAAGCAAATCTGATCATTTTTACTTCCGACATTTCAATGTCTCCCTCAGAGTAATGCTCAACCGAACTCCTTGGTCCATCCCTAGCCAGCCACACCACTCAGCGAGCTGCTCCATTCACACCAAACTACTAAATGTCTCCACACATTCGACCCCTTTTCACTCCCTCAGCCTCTCTGCACTTTGTTTTTTTCTGAATCTTCCCACCTCCAAGCTCACTAGTTCTGCCTCATCGTTCAGGCCTAGTTTAATTCCCACCTCATCTGAGAAGCCTTCTCCAACCCGCCCAGCGGGTACTGAACTTCACCACAGCAGTGTGTGACTGCAAAGGTCTTTGTCTCCTCTGTGAAGCTGAGTTTCTTGAGGGCAGGCTGCTCACTTGACCAATATTTATAGTGGAGATCAGCCCCACTTCAGGCATGGGAGCATGAGCAAACATCTGTTCGATGAACAGCCAGCTAACCTCCAGGGAAAGGGTGACAGATGTAGGGACTAGACAAATCCCACAGAATCTACGTCCCTTTGCCACAGGCCTGGCCTACCTCAAGGGATCCTTGTTCTTTCTTCCTAGGCACAGACACCCTGGTAGTCCTCAGCCTGTTGTCCACGCCTGGCACCAGAAGGTCCCTACAGCTTTTCCAAGACTCTCTGGGTTGCATGGCTGAACAGGGAACAGCTAAGACTATCTCAAGGATCCCTTCCACCCCTACTAAAATATGTGAACAAAACCCAGGGGAGCTCAGAGGGAGAAGAATGCTTCCTGGCAGAGTAGAAAAGACGGTACTGGAGATGGGCCTTAGGGAATAATAATGATGATGATACAAATAAAACAGCTAAAATTTATTAAGCACTTACTAAATGCCAGGGATTGTACTGAGGGATCGATGATTATTATCTTATTTACACCTCACAAAAACCCCATGAGAAGATTCTAATGCTGTATTCCCATTTTATATATGAAAAAACTAAAGCAAAGAATAAAGTAGCTTGCCCAAGGTTCACATACAGTGGAGAAAATGGGATTCAAACTCCAGCAGCCTGAGTCTGTGATCAACTGTTAACTGTGATTAGCCATTACTCTACACTGGCTATACCCAGGAGGAGCTGGGTCTCTAGGTGAAGGGAACAGCAGAAACAAAAGCCAAGAGGCCTAAGACTCAGGTCCAGATGAAAGGCTCACCTAGGTAAGCAGAAGGCACTAAAGTGAGAAAGAACGTGTCTGGGAGAACCTCAAACGCTACAATCAGGAATTGATGTTAATCTCATGGGCAGTGGGAAGCTGTGGAGGATGTTGGAAGAGGGTGTAACAGAAGAGCTGAAGGCTAAACGATAGGTTCAATCAGGAAGCAAAACCTGGACTGAGGTGGAGGTGGAAATGGAGGTCACAGGTAGAATCAGAAGTGAGGTGTGGTATAGGCAAGGATAATCTCCTGGGGGAGGGCCTGTTCTGACAGCTTGGGGGAGACAATCAGCTCAGAAAGCTTGAGAACTTACAGGTGGTCTGTCACTGCTGGGTGCAAGTGGTAATGGGGGGTGCAGGGAGAGTAATGGTAACATTTCATGGGCAACAACAAATGTTAACCTCTGCCCTTTTTCATTTAGGGTGCAATGGCTATGTCCCTGTATTGTTAACGCTCTAGACCCACCACCCCACAGGTCTGTGATTCTCTCTGCCCTGCCTCTCTCCAGGTACTCTGAGAACAGCTCCACCTCCAGTTCCTCCTGGTACTAGCTGATTCCCTGGGAACTTCCATTCAACCTTTTGGCTCTTGAAGCCTTCATACCCCTTCCCTCCTCCCAAGCACCCGCACAGGTGGCTCTTTCCCTAGCATTTTGCCCAATACCATATGTGCCATCCCCTTCTGGATTGCTGGTAAATCCCTGACAAGGAGACAAGGATGGTCTCTCTTCCTCTCCAGGAGGAGAATGTGCCTGGTCCTATGTGGTTTTTTCAAAGATGGGAAAACTAAGACCTGGAGCTGGTGGGCAGCCTACACTAGAGTGGAGAACGAATTCCCAAACCAGAGAATGAACTAGAGCTGGAAAGGCAAAAAAAAAAAGTAGGATACAGCCAAGAGAATGAAGCCATTTCCCGTTCCATCTCCAAGAGCTCCAAGGCCACATCGAGGGCTAATATCCAACTCCTGATCCCACCTCTCCTTGATTTGCTCAGCACACACCTAGCCTCTAATCTTTGCTTTGGTGAAATACCCAATCCTCTAGCCCTTGACCCAGATTGGTGTGAGCTACTCCTGAGCCCCTTTAGGGCAAGGGGTGGAAAGATTCCTGGAGAAAGCCAGGGCATTCTTCCTTTCCCCTTCTCTGGGTTGTGAAACAGATCTAGGGTGGGAACCCATACTGTGTGGATGAGGAAGAGATAAGTCACGGGGACTGAAGGGCCCCAGTCTTGGCAGATCCAGACCCCATGGAGATCTCTGCACATGACTGAACCAGTCCCCAACTTGTCCCACAGAGCCCTGCTTACTGATGCCTGTGCTCACACAGGTGGGATAGAAGTCCTGACTTCCCCCAGCCTTGGTGGGTAGTACCTTCATGGATGGCCACTGGCTCTGGCCCCCACCTCCCCCTCAGGCGCCATCTCTGATTAATGATCTTGTCTTTCTGATTTATGAGCAGCCCCTCCAGACGAGGGTGGGTGCCCCTTATGGCCCCACCCGCCCCGCTCAGCTGGAGTAGGAGAGAATTATTAAATAAACATCCATACGTCATCCCCGCCCCCCCAAGCTGGTTGCGCCGAACCTGTACGGCCCGCTCCAGCGCTGACACGGAGCAGCTGCGGTGATTCATGGGCAGCCGGGCCCTGCGCCGCGGCCCATACATCATGCCAGCAGCACTCGCGGCCCGGCCGAGATAAACTGATCAACCACAACGGGCTGGAATGAATTTATGACAACACAAAATGGAGGGAAACAAATGGGAGGTGACCCTGGGCCACCGACCCAGCCCTGACTGGCCTGCAATCCACTCTCCTGGCAGGAAGCAAGATGGAACACTGGCCCTGGGATGAAGAGGCTGCTTTTTAACCTGGGCAACCTAGCCTCTGGTCAGAGGGAGCAGGGTGGGTGCAGGGAGTTAAGCAATGGCCAACAGCAGTAGCTCCAGGCGGCCTGGACTGGACAATGCCACCTCCTGGGACTGTATCTGGCCTTGCTTGGGCTACTGGAAAGGCAATGAGATGCCCAGCTGATATCAAATCCTTGCAGATCCTGGGGATCCAGGCCAGGGGCTGCTCAGCCCTGGGTAAGGTGTTAATGGATTCCCTTTTCCCTTGCTGGAGAACCCAGGCCAAAAAATCCTCCCAGAAGTGATGAGAACCAATGCTCCTGCCTAAAACCCACTGTGAGTGCCACCCGGGACAAGAAAAATGAAACCAATTTAGCTCCCGATTAAGAAATAGAAACTAGAGATGAATCAAGTGCGCCGGCCAGGCTGGGTGGCCATACATCACATTCTCTGGATGGAGGCCGCTGCAGCGGGCAGGCGGGCAGGCAGGCAGGCAGGTGGCCTGCTCCTCTCTCCGCCAAGGCTCCTGGGGCCATGGCCCAGCGATCAATTCATGGAGTCATGCTTTGCACCAGCTGGGCTCCACTGCCGGCTGCATGCCCAGGGCAGCAGGACGAAGCTGCATTCAGGAGGGCCACAAGCCCTGGCAGCAGGCCTTCTTACTAGCAAAGGGCCCCTCTCCCTCCCACTAAAGTGCTGTTCCAGGGCACCTGTCCTGGCCACCCACACTTACTTCTCGATGTCACTATTCTTGCAGGTCTTCTGCATGGCCTCCTGCTTGCTACTTTCACCATTGCTCGTGGATGGCATCTCTGCTGGGACAGAGGGGCAACTCACACTCTGGCCAGACTGGACAGCACAGGTAAGGGGTCAGGCTCGAGTCAGTAATCACCATCTAGGGATGCCCTCTCTCCCCTATTCTCTTAACCTGGGTCAGGACTTACCATCACTGGCCCATTTAGAGAATTCAGGAGTGATGCGTGTGCTGGGAGGGCCACCGCTAGAGGAAAGGAAGGAGAAAAAACAAAGTAAGGCCTGAGTACTTGGCTGACCCTTCCCTCAGGGCTTCTGATCCCTCCAGCCCACCCTCCCAAGACTGTGCCCACACTTGCTTTAGGACTGCGCCTCGGAGTGCCTCTCTCTCCTTGGCTTCACCAGGCTCCTCGCCTGTGCAGGGGATGACATCAGCTTCCGTGTATCTGGCACGGTGGTCAAGGACGATGGATCCTAGTTTGCAGTAGGCCATGACAGTTGAGTCTTCAGGACAGACCCCCTGGCCAAAGCTGAGACTCTGGTCCTGGAGTGATGTGGGTGATTACCAGATACGCTAGCTGCTTTCCTTTTTTTTTTAAAAAAGATGACCAATAAGGGGATCTTAACCTTTGGCTTGGTGTTGTCAGCACCACGCTCTCCCAAGTAAGTTAACCGGCCATCCCTATATAGGGGACCCGAACCGTGGCCTCACTCTCCCAAGTGAGCCACCGGCCAGCCCTGAGGTGTTTCTTTGTGCTCTACTTAAACAGAACTTTTATTTCTAGTGCCATGCCTTTGTACTTTCCATTAGAGAAACAAAAGAACATTTATGCATTAAGAATTTCAACCGAAACAATGACTAGAAACTGAATAAAACAGAACACCAGCCAGGCTCAGTGGCACATGCCTGTTGTCCCCAGTACTAGGGAGGCTGAGGCCAGAGGGTCGTTTGAGCCCAAGAGCTCTGGGCTGTGGTGCACTATGCAGAGTGGGTGTCCACACTAACTTTGGCATCAATATGGTGGCCTCCCAGGAGTGGGAGATCACCAGTTTGCCTAAGGAAAGGTGACCAGCCCAGGACAGAAACAGTGAAAGCACCAGGCCGGGCTGGGGCAAGGCCAAGGGCCAGGCAGGCAGCTGACCCCTCTGAAGTGCATTTGGTGAGCTGCTGAGGCTAAACCAAGCCCACTTACCTGCCAGGTGGTCTCTCTGACCCCCAAGACCACCCTTCCTGATAGCTTAGGGTCAGGGGCCACAGAGATGGCCCTCCTTCCCCTGCTTCCTCACACCACTAGCCAGCACAACAAGCCCTTCCATGGACCAAAGAAAACAAAGGACTCTGTGGTGAGTGGGATCAGCAAGGAAATCCTTAAAGAAGTGAGGGAGAAGCTCAGGGTTCTGGCATGAAGATCTTAAATTTCTTCTTCTCCATTCTTTCCATTCACAGGTCCTTATACTCTCATTCGGGTGACAGTCTTGTGCTGGGTCCTCAAATCTATTGTCTGTTCCCTCATCCTGCTTACCATATAGTTCTGACTCTTCTTTAGCCTGCTCCAGAAGCATCTATGGCTTCCCACTGCATGTATAACCAAGTCTAGGCTCTTTGGCCAGATCCTTCTCAGCCCTCTCTCTTGCCTCACTTCATTCCATATGCCCTAGGCACATGAACATGGAGACTGATCACTGTGTCCAAACATACCCTGCTTATGACCTTTGCTCATGCTATGCATTCCATCTAGAGTGTTCTCCACCTTTCAAACCCTGAAAAGCACTTTCTTGAAACACTTTCTTCCTGTTCTTTTCCCTCCTACCCCTCTCGTCTCTGGTCTCATAAAGATCCCACCCCTCCCAGAGGTAAGAAGCACCAGGGAAAGCAAGAGGCTAGGCACTGCCTAGGCTCCACCCCTCCCTGACAGTCCTCATTTGCCCTCCACCCTGAGGCACTAACACACTTGAGGCAGCAGGCAGGTTAGCAGCAGGGCCATTAAGCTGAGAAAACACCAAGTTACAGCTCTCTCTCCTGTTCGCTGCCAGGTGTCCTGACAAGCAATTCCTGCCTTGTGGGTGAGTGGCACCTCTATAAACCCTCTGACAGTTTGGGAGACAAACTCCGCCATCAATCAGAATGTAGCTATCAGGTTCACTTACAGCCTGCGCCCCCTGAGCCCTGCCAGCCCCCCTCCCCCAAGTACATGCAGCTCAGCAGCCAGCCTTACATCTTCTGCTCAGCCCGGCCCTTCCCTTCCCAGCCCTGCCTTGTGGGTGGGCAAAAAAGGAAACCAGAGAACTCTGGCACCACTCCTGAGCCCAGTAGGGCTCCCATAGCAAAGCCGAGAAAATAGGGTACCCCAAAGCTACCAGAAAAAGTCCCAGCTTCTCAACATATAGAGCAGCCCTGTGGCATAAAGTCCTTTCCTCTGCAGTCTTGCCTGCATACCTGGACCAGGACTCACTCTCCAATGGAACACAGCAACTGTGGTTTCCCAAATCGTACATGCTTTCTTATGCCCACATGCCTTTGTATCTCCTGTTCTCTCTACCCTGAACCTTCTCCCTCCTGGTCTATAGAACAAATGCCTGCTCATTCAGCAAGTCTGACTCAGCTCAACCATACCTTCCACCATTAACTCACAGTGCCTACGCATAGTAGTTGCTCTATAATCCTTGCTGAAGGAATGAACTCTCACCTTAACATTCTTTCAAACTTCACTGAGCTATCCTCTGTCTGGCTTTGTACTGAGAACACAAAAGTGTCAAGATCTGATCTCTATCTTCAAGGTGCTCTGAATGAATGGTGGATGAGCATTTGCCAGGCACTGTTTTGTTTTTTTGGTGGCTGGCAGGTACGGGGATCTGGGCCCTTATGTTATCAACACCACGCTCTCCCAAGTGAGCCACCAGTGAGCCTGTTCACCAGGTACTTAAACATAAATGTCCCTTCTTTGGTGTCCACCCAGACTCCTGTGCAAACTCCAAATCACATTTAAAGCCGAAAGCTACAAGGGTCCCAAGTCTGACTCTCCGTTGTGATCTCCACATCACCCAGCAAGGCTGGCCAGGTCCACAGCAGGTGCCATATACTCAGCAGTACTGGCTAAACACTGCCAATACTGTTCTATTAGGTCCTCAGAGCCCTGTGCCAGAGGGAAGGCCAAGCCTGTTAGCTGATGGCCTGGAGAAACCTCTCAGGACACAACCTTCCCTATCAGACCCCAGCTCCCAGTCTTCTGTTCCTCTGACCAGTCGAGCAGGATGGAGAGCATTACACATCTTGTTTGCCAAGGAAAAGGTCTTTTGCTTCTGATCTGAGCAGTTTACTCTGACCCTGACCCCATCCCCCAGCAGAGACAGATGCTGGGAACTTCTCCCTACCCCCACAGGTGTTCAGAACAGGACATTACACATCTTGTTTGCCAAGGAAAAGGTCTTTTGCTTCTGATCTGAGCAGTTTACTCTGACCCTGACCTCATCCCCCAGCAGAGACAGATGCTGGGAACTTCTCCCTACCCCCACAGGTGTTCAGAACAGGCCGCTGCTGCCAATTTCACTCTTGTGCTGCCCCAGCCTGCTACAACCTCCTTCCCAGCACATTAAACTTTATTTTCTTAATGAAATGTCACTTGCTGACTTCTGGCAGAATCATAATAAAAAGAAACGGCCATAAAGCCGTTTTATGCAGACAGCACCCCTGCCAGCTTGCCCCCCCCCCCAACCCCTCCTGCTTGGAGAGGAAAGCTCCACAGTCGTTTTATGTTCTCAGCTGCTGGAATATCCCAAGCCAGTACTCAGAGGCAAGATGGCACAGACAGCTCCTTTCCAAGTCTCTGGCTCCTCTTCCATGTAGCTCTGGGGATAACAGGCAAGCTGCCACTCCTGCTGCTGCTAACCAGAGAAGGAACTCAGCCCCCAAGACCTCCAAGATGACCCAGAGTACCCTTCAGTCACCAGAGAGGCTCCCTTGCTACAGTTCTGCCCCACCTTAAAGTGGCTGAAAGGGCTGGGCCCCCACCCACAGGCAAAATAAGCCTGACAGTAAATGATGCCCAGTAGAGTGGCTACCAGAGTTGCCTAGTCCTGTGGGGGCAATGAAAAAAACCCCTTCCCTTCCTGTGAACACTCAGCAATAAAGAGGGAGAGGGTTAAGTGCAGAAATGATATGCAAGTCTAAATTTTATGAAAATGACCCTTCTCCCATAAACTCATTTCTTCCTGGGTCATTGAGAAGGGGGAAAAAAAAAATCAGTGTTAATTTAATCAATTGATCAGATGATCGACTGAGAAACTGGAGATGCCCGTTTACTGGGGGCAGTAACGTCCTGTAACCTGAAACCACAAAAAAGGAGCCATCGATTTCCTCACCTGCTGCTCCCTACAAAACCAGGGCCCAGGGAGAAAGGAAAGTCTTGAGGCCCTCCAGAGTCCTATGCTCTCCAATGGGGAGGGCAGGGGCAGCAGCTTCCGGAGAGTTTTACACTGGAATTAGTTACAGATGCAGTTACGGTGTCTTGTGTAAACGCCATCGATTGGGGAGCTGACAGTCTGGGGAGCTGCGATGCGGGACAATCAATCGGCCTGCAGTGTCACCTGCCACCTCGCTGAACAGTTGACAATGCAATTATCCAGTGTGGAGGCAGGGAGTTGGCGTGTGTCAAACGCACTTAGCCACTTTCCGGGCCTCCTCGATAACGCGTTTCACTGCCTCACGTCAGGAGAGACGCATAGAGACAGACGCCGTTTAAAACCATTGATACTTGCTCCTTCTGCCTGCACTCCCTCTGTCCCAGCTTAACAATTGTGTTCCAAAAGGCGATTAAATCCCGTCAGTTGCCACAGGGGAAAGACGGTGCCTCGCTCCTTGCCACCTTTCCTCACCCCTCCCAACAGGCGACAGTTATAACTAAAGGTGGTGGGGAGTTAGAAGGCAGCAGCCCTACTCCTCTCCATTCCAAAACTGTCTCCAGCGGTGTGTTGTTCCAACACCTGTCACTGACTGGACCAGACAGCAGAGCTGTGCTGGGGGACATTTTTAGCAGCTGGGGCTCCCATCTTTTGAGAACCAACACGCTAAAGGAGGCAGCAGCTAAGGCAAGGTCTATATGCCATTGGACTCACAACACCTCTCCCCACCTTGCCCCATAGTCTACTGCTGGAGTTTTATCAAGATACAGCCAGTTAAAAGATCTGTGTCAAAGCTGCCCTGCCTGTTCTTGCCATGATTTCTCATTCCAGGCTACTAGGAACCAGCCTAAATGTAAGACAAGAACTCGAGAAAGTCACAGGCTCTAGGCCAGGATCTGGGCATGGCAGAAACCCTGCACAGCTGACTCTCTTAGTACCTTCCCTCTCCCCCACTCCACGTTTGATTTTCAAGGGGCTTCAGGCTGGATTCTAGCAATGCATTCATCTCTGGGGCTCAGAGACTCAGATGCAGACAACGTCCATTTCCTGTGCAGCCTCCCGGGAAATTCCTCCCCCTCACCACTCTTGTGTCCAACACACCACTGCCACCTTATTGGAAACCAATCATTCCCATGTCCTCTCTCCAGCCTGCCTCTTCCAGATATGAGCTCTGAGCTTCCCAAATCCAGCTGGGTGAACACTCACTGGCAAGCAACACAGGGAGGGACCAAGCCTGACCACCACAGGTCTCTTCTCCAGGATCCAGGAGCTAGATGTAGGAAATATCTAGATGAGAGGCATAGCTCAGTCATCACATACCTCCTTTGACTATGGGGAGGAGCATGTCTGTATAATTCCCTGTGGCCTGCCTCATGGCCTGCTTCTTTAGCCTAGAAACCCCTTTCTCTGTCCAGGTTTGGCATGGTACCTCAGAAGAGCGTCTTTTTCTAACTGCTGATCTCTCTTAGGAAAATGTGGGTGAAACGCTAGGCTGTGTGTGCGGTCCTTTACGCAGGCTAGAAAATCTAAGGCTCTAAGAGGACTATCACCAGAGCAGGCACACAGCCTAAGGATTTCTCCTAAAACTGCAAGGGTCAGAGTGTCTCCTAGATACCAAAAATTTCTTCTGACATTCTCTCTTGAACTCTTTACCTATTTCCTTTAGTCTTTTAGAAATCTTTTCCCAGCTGAACCTATCTCAGTGCTCACCTCTTCTGTCTGGTCCTTCGTTCTGTCCTCAAATACCAGTTCTAAGCACTCCCAGGCCTGAGCCTGAGCCTGAGCCGGGCCTCCCCCTCAGTAACCACAGGTCCCATCTCTAAGGCCCATTCCCCTCAGCTGAGCATCTCTACCAAGCCCTTGCTTGCTGACTGCCCCTCACAGCAGACTACACCCAAGGTAACCAACTTGATCTATCAGACCAGCTCCCAGTTGGCCTGGTAGGAAGCTCTGCTGAGGATGGCAAAGGCGCCCAGTCTGGGAGAAAGGGTCAGGGATGATCGGATACAGGAACTTATCTGCAATTCTTCAATTCTTTCATATCTAACAAGGACAGCAATCTCTGTTCTGTCAGCACGCACAGCACAGCTTAAATGGGCCTCGCCACTCGCCTGCTCATCCTGCCTCTGCCTCCCTCTCTCTGAAGTCGGCTGGGCAGCTTCTTCAGCTGGCGTTATCACTCCCTCTAACCGGTCTTGGCAGGCAATCTAATTCCTCCTGAAAAGGTCACCGCCATTTTAACTGCCTTTCAATCACATTAAGCACGCGCTGCCCGGCTTGCGGCTCGGCCCGCCCGGCGGGTGATCAATGCACTACACTGACACCAGCCCGCCTGGCGGGGCCACACCCAGCCCCCCAAGAGATGGGGCCTATCGGTCCTGGCCAGGGAGGGCAGGCTGACAGATGGCCAGTTTTTGCAGACAGGGATTCGGGGGCAGAGGCAGTCAGGATCAGCGAGGGCCTCCCTTTGATATCCCTCCCCACTGAGGAGCCTCAGCCTCCTCTGTGCCACTGTGCCCCGCTCTCTGCCTCGTGGCCCCCGCTGATCTTGCTGTAAAACAGCCTTTCAAGTCCGCCCATCTTTTGACTGCGCTAAGCTGTTGAAGAGGCGGCAGCAGCTTCTATCAGGAAAGCTGGAGCAATTCTCTGCAGATAAAGGCACCTCCGGCCTGTTCCCTCTTCAAGTCTCACTCTCATTCTCGCTCTCCAAATCGCTCAAAGAAAAGCCCCCTTTGAACTCCCCTCAGGAATTCTTGAAAGGAACAACCTCGCAGTGTAAACACTCAGGGAAAACTGATACCCGCCCAGGGCCTGAGAGCCCCTCACAGGCCTCTGCAAGCACACCCCAGCGCAGGGGAAATACTTTGTCAAGTCAGCAGGCCCTAGGTAGCTCTATCTCCCTTAAACACTATCTTGTGCCCAGAAGCCATTGGGTCCAGTTCTGTGCCAAGAAATCTGACTAAGAAGTTGCCAGGGCAATGGAAGATGTGAATAGGCGCACCTGCCAACAGAGCTAGTCCAGAGCAGCATCCTGGAACTGACCCTGCATGAGCTGCCACCAGGCACCCATGTATACAACTCATGGGGTCCTGGGCTCTGCTGCTCATTCTTCTGGGGCCTCAGACACTGCAGAGCTCCAGTAGAAGGCCAAAATGAAATGGCAAATTAGTACTCTCCAGCTCGGGCTCAGGGAAACAGTTTGGTCTGACTAACCTGCCTGATTGATGTTTTGGCTTGCCCCCAAATGCTTGGGTAATGTGAGGGAAGCCCAGAGGCAATAACGTCCCATCTGGGCCTTTAGCCCCTTTATGTAGCCAGTCTGCACTGGACAGCACTGTGGACATCACTGCTCAGCACCCACCCAGATAGCATGGCTCTAAGGAGTCAGAGACCCTCTCCCCAGCTGCTGTGAGATTCTCCAGGGACCATACACAGTGGTACTCCCAAGGGTGTTGCCCAGAGAACGGGAGGCAGATGGCAAGCAGATTGGCTCACTTAATGACCACAAGCTGCAATGCCAGCTGTGCTCGTGCACAGAAAGGGAGAAGAGCTGTAGGCCAGGAGGCAGACAGCTCCCCTTGGGCAGGAGAGTTTGACAAGAGGACACTGACCATGGGCACCCAACCAGTTCTGCTGTCTGACTTTGTGTGTGTGGGGGGGGCGGAGGGGACGTGCAAGCTATGCCCCTCCAGGGAGCTGGGAGGGCAGTGGAGAAGGGTAGGGCCCCATGGACTCCTCTGCAGCAATTGGGGAGAGCCCAAGGGAAGCAGGGAGCAGCTGGGCCCAGGCCCCTCTTGCTTTAGGGATGAGGGTGCCCGGGGAGAACGGATGGGATCAGAGCTAAAATTAGATTCACCAATGAAGCTCATGGGAGGTCAAATTTTGCCATAACTCACTCTCTCCTCTGTAACTGATTTCCCTGACACAGGGATGAGGAGGAGGAGAAGGAAAATCCAATGCATTTGCCTGGAAGCCCTCAGGGCCCCCAGTGCTGGAGGTGTACAGCAGGTTGCTGAATTCTCATTTATCAGCCTTAAGAGGGATGGAGTGATAAATGCATAACCGTCCCTTTAATATTTTATGCAGGTGCTAACGCGGCTTGGCTGTCACCTTCAATGTATCACCCGAGGCTGAGAGCCCCCCTCGTCACTCCTAGCTTGCAGCCTCACAATTCCATTTCCCCACCCAAATACATCCATTTTAATATGCACATCACAGGCAGTCAGCACGGTCACAAAGGAGCCCCACGGCAGCAGTTCCACATGGTAGAACGGATGACCAGCCACCAGCCATGGCCTCTCAGCTCTCAACAGATGGATACCCGGCAGAGGCCTGGCGCCAGATGCCAATGCCTATGTGTTAGCTGCTTGTACCTCGAAAGCCACCTTCCAGGAGAGTGGTGGCCCGTATCCGCTTCTGCCCACACCACTCATACTCCTCAAAGCGGTTGCTGTTCTCATGCTCGATGTCCACGGCATCATCTTCAGCCATGCAGGAGCCTTCCCTCTGTGAAAGGCAGAGCAGGATCACGCAGGGCCCATGCCGCCCCTACCTGCTCCCCAGAGCCTGCAAGGACACAGCCTAGCCCCAGCTGCATCATACCAGATGTGTCCCCCAGCTTTAGGGCTCCTCTGAAGTAAACCAATCTAGAGGTCAAAGACCTGGGCCTCTTCCCAATAACGCTCCACTGGAGCCCAAGGAGGGAGTAAGTGAGAGTGAAAGCAAAGGAAGAGAGCAAAGAGAGCAAACAGAAGGGAAGAAGCTGCTGAGACCACATGGAGACCCCAAGAGTCCGCAGATTTGGGGGCAATCAGCAGCTAGTGTTGGGAAAGGGGAGGGAAGAAAGCTGGGTGGTGATGGCCCCTCTACCTTAGAAAGGCAATGCTCCACATGCCTACTCATCTCCTGCTCCGATCCTGCCATGGGGCGGTTGCACAGGGGACATACCTGCCCTTCATCTTGCTTCCTCCGTTTCATTTTCCCAATCCGAGCTGCATGGAGAAACCGAGAACAAAGCACAGAACAAGCAGACGGTCACCATAGCTCCCAGGGTCCCAGTGGAGCTGACATATCCTGACCTCCTGCCAGCCATTAGCCCTTTTGTTCAGTGCCTCATTTGGCCCTCATTTCGTAGCCCTCCTGCTTCTCTGGGGACTGGGCCTCCCCAAGAGCACCTGGCGAGGAGGCTGGTGCTAGGCCAGCAAAGTGTTCCCTTGGTGGCCACAGCTGGGTCAAGCTCAATCCATACTTCCCTTTCTGCAGTAGATTCTAACTGTGTCCAATAGGCAAAGGTACTCCATGTTGCTAGGTATCTCACCAGAAGGCCAAGAACATGGGCTCTTTTGGTGTCGGGAAATAGAACTCTACAGACCATCTCTTGGCTAGAACCCAAGGTCCCTCCAGGGGCCTGATCTGGCCTGATGTTCACTCGTCAGTTAAAACCCCTTTCGTTCCCGGGCCAAAAGCCCTGCGGTATAGCCCCTAGTGTCCTACCTAGAATCCTCCAGGAAGAATTTTTCTGATGTCCACTGGTCCCATTTTACAGAAGAAGAGACTGAGGCCCAGTCATAGGGTCCAGGTTAGACCTTGGGCAGTAGTGTCAGAGGGCCCAACGTTCCTGAAGGATGCAGCCCTTACTGTGCCCACCCAAACCTGTTCCATCATTTCTAATCAGTGCACAGGGGCTGGCAGGCCCCAGAGGCAGAGGGCTGCCTGCCATGCTGTCCCGCAGGGGGCTCAGTTCCAAAGTGCACATTGCAAGCCCACAGCACTGCTAATTAATGCTGAGAGATGCAATCATTTCTAATTAGTTCACTAATCCTTCTCTGTAGCCCTCCTGTCACTGAAGCAGGAAGGGGTCAAAATAAGGGACTCTGTTCCCTCTAGCCCCTCCCAGGATGCAAGAGCAGGATCAGAGATGGCCACTCTTGAGACCAGACTGACACGGATGGGGTGGGGTGGTGTGTGTGGAAGAGCAGCCAGCCAAGGAGGAAAAGGTTCCCCAGTGCAGGGCCAGGAAGAACTTTCTCATGACACTGACCCTGATTGGAAGCTCATGAATGCAGTCTAGGGAGGGGAACATGGTAACAGTCGATAGGTTACAATTTAGAGCTTCTACTATGTGTCAGGCTAAGAGCCAAGTATCTTACACAAGGTGGCTCACTTACTCCTACGTCCTGAAACTAGGTTGCATTATCCCATTTTAGCAGATGAAGAAAACTGAAGCTTATAGAAATCAAGACACTTGTCCAAATAGCTAAAAAGTAGCAAAGGTAAGATAGGAAACCAGGCCTTACTTCATAGCCTAGAACGCTCTCCTGGCTCCCAGCTAGGGAGCATCAGCAAAAATTGATCCCAGTTAGTGTACCAGGGCCCCAACTCTTGCCTGTTGATGGTTTGAGGCAGGGAGCTACTCCAACTCCAAAACAGAGTGGCCTAAGAAAGACCCAAACCACAAGGAAAGCCACCATCTCACCAGAAGTGAGCATGGAGTTTGAGAAACCTTGGTCTGTAGCACAACCCATCTGTTCAATCTCCTGTATTTTCAGTATAGGAGATGTGACTATGTTTGGCGCTCCACTTGACTTAGTGGACGAAGATCCAGATTCCTTCATTTTGGTTGCCCTACCCCTTGGAATCTTAGGCTCAAGCAGCCTTGACACTCTAGAGCCATGGCTGGGATGGAGAAGGGATATGAGATATCAGAAAAACACTGAGCAACGGAACTTCAGAGTTCTAGGAGCCTAGTATAGAGCAGTGTGCCAATACAAAGCTTCCTCACCTACGCTGCCTAGAGCCCGAGAGAGTTCCTCCCTGAGAGAAGAAGGGTCCAGTGACACTGTTCAATGATTGAATAAAGAAATGAATCTCTTAGAACTGCCAAAGAAGGCACAATATTGGATGGTCTCCTTACCCAGGACACCTAGGCCAGCAGATGATCCCTTGCAGTTCCAGGAAAGCACCCTGACAGACTGGGCTTTATCTGGAAATTCTCAGATAAGCAAGGCAGTTTGGTTTTATCCTTAACATTCATCTTCTAAGTCCTGAACTAAGCTTACTAAAGCGTGGAGGGAAAGTTTTGTTCTCTACCCAGAGGCTACCTCTGAGTAGGAAGTCAAAGCATCTGCCAAGGAGGTAGCATGGCATGGTTGGAGCAGCACAGGCTTTGGAGGTAAACAAACTTCAGTTCAATCATGGCTCATTACATCCCAGCTGTGTGATTTTAACCAAATTACTTTCACCTTTCAGAGCCTCGGTTTCCTAATTTACCAAATGTGTGCAATACTCTCCTCTCAGAGGTGTTGTGGAAATGTTGCTTAACACGGTGCCAAGCCATAATAAATGCTCTCCCTTTTCAGACTGGGGCTCAGCCTGGCAGCAGAAACCAAGCAGTAAGAGCTTGGGATCTTGAATATCCATGGCCTCACTCACCGACTGTCCCAGAGACCCTAAGCCCTTTATAGCCAACCCCCAGATATACCACATCCCGGTCAGCACAAAAAACTAGGATCATTCAATTGTGTTCAGCAAACAGGAATGCTCCAGAGGTTTGAATCCAAAAGGGGGGCCACCAGGTAGTGCATACACGGCCTGCTTTCAGAGAAGGCCTCTAAGAGCTGTCGAGCCCACGCTGATCACCTTTGTGAAATGTGGGCCGACTGATAACTCAAAGAGCCCTGGGGATGAGTTAGTTCCTGTTGCCGTGGGAACTCCAGATCTCAATGCATTGTCAAGTCTCAGCAGAGAGGCTATATTCACACTACTAGGCACTGATTAAAAACTGGAAGAAAAACATTCTCAGCGCCCTGCCGGCTTGTATAGTGAGGTCCCAGCAGTTTGCAAATTCAAAGCTGAGCTCCCGAGTGGAATTGTGTAGCTCGTCCCTCATTCTCCGGCACTTATTGCCCTCCAGGGTTCTTCAGGGCCTTTAGAGAAGCTTGGGCAAGAGCTGGGAATCATACCTCCATTAGACAGACGGGGAAACTGAGGACGGCAGCCTTGGTTTACACATACTCCGGCGCTGTGACTCGAAGAAGCCAATGGGCCCTTATGTCGAAGAGACCCAGGCAAACCGGGAGCTGCAGGCAGTGAGGGAGGGAGGAGGCCGGAGGTGGGGCGGAGGGAGGGGCCGGACAGGACTCACCATTCAGTCGGGTCTGCCGGTTGGCTCGCACTCGCAGGAAGGTCTGGGAAAAGATCCCGGGCAGATGCAGAAAAAGAGAACATAGCGTCAGGCGCGGCCCGGAGTCCTGGCCCCCGCCCCGGCTCCGGACCCCAGTCCAGGCCTGCCCCGCCCCAACAGCCCTTAAACAACCCTCCTTCCCCCCCCCCGCCGGCCCCCCTGCTCCGCCGGCCACTCCGGGCCCTCGGCATAGCCGCCGAGGGCTGCTCTAACGGGACCCCGTGGCCGCCGCGCGGTG